CTTTTCTTTCATATCACGGGTATCAATACTTCAGGTTGGACGGTACTACTGGCATAGAGCAGCGACAGGTTGGTTTTGCGTTTACTTGCTTGTCTAGACAAAATTGAAAGCCATTCTTTAGGCAATGATGGAGAGGTTTAACGCTGATGCGAAGATTTTTTGTTTTATCCTTTCGACTCGATCTGGTGGTATAGGAGTGAATCTTACCGGTGCAGATACTGTGATCTTTTACGATTCTGACTGGAATCCTACTATGGATGCGCAGGCTCAGGATCGGTGTCATAGGGTAAGATTACTGCGTAACCTCAAACACGTTGATTTTTGCTGAATAAAATGATTTTCAGATTGGGCAGACGCGAAATGTTACAATCTTCCGTTTGATCTCAGAAAGAACTATAGAGGAGAACATCTTACGTAAAGCAATCCAGAAACGTAGATTAGGTGAAATGGCAATCGATGAGGCTGGTTTCACACCAGAGTTCTTCAAACAGTCCGATAATATACGGTGGGTAACTTAACAACTTTCGAATTAGTTATCCGATGGGTTCCCTTGATTTAGTGATCTCTTCGATGGCGAGCTCGATGTTGGAAATATCGAGATTATCGAAGGCCCCAAAAGTCAAAAAGACGTGGAGAAGGTAAAGAAAAGTTTTTTCATGGGACGTGGTGAAGATAAAGCATTGACTTAGGCTATGGCGACATTGGAGGATGAGCAAGATGTAGCGGCTGCAAAGATTGTCATCGCTGAAAGCAGAGCTGATAAAGCGGAGTTCGATGAGTCGAAGAATGTAAATGCTGGTGAAAGCATTTTCCAAAGTAATTTGGACAACGAGGAACCGCTGGATGAGAAGTATATTGAGCTCATCAGTCAGGTGCGTTGATTTTTCGAAGATTTACTATTTATGCAAATGTTTAACTTATTCTCCCTTTGATTTAGTTGAAACCAATAGAGCGGTATGCAGTGAACTTCTTGGAAGCTGAATACAAACCAGAATTTGAAGAGGAAGTTAGGGAGGCTCAGGTGAGGCAGTAGTACCATTAAAGGCATTGTCTTGGCAGAATTTCGTTTCCAGTTTTTTTTTGCCTTTTCGAGGTTTTCTTGCCATAAGGAACCCATATCTGGGCTTTTTCGCGCACGAAAATGGCAAAAATGAGCTTTTTTCAAGGCTTTCCATACCCGCATCTAATGGAAGTACGCTGGAAGTCTTCCGCGCCGGGACTGCGCCCACACGCGTATTTTCACTGAATGCGGACCTTTAAAGCCTTGGGAAAAGCTCATTCTTGCCATTCTCATGCGCTGAAAAGCCCA